AGTGGGTAGGTTACAAAAAAAATGTGCGCCATTCTATACAAGATCTGACGCTTAAATGCATCTGTCAGATAGCCAAACAATACACTATCATAGTCCCATTAGTATAACAAATGACAATCAAGAAAAATCGTGTGCGGATACACGAAGATGTCAGAGGAACATTCTGCGCAGTCTATTGCGCGAGCACAAAAATAAAAAGTGTTACTTGTGGAGTATACAATGCGAACGGCAAACCCAAAGTGATAAGTAATAAAAAAAACCGAGGTCTAACACTACCGCAGTGTCGCCGAAATAGGCATAATCGCCTGTATGAGTACCCGAAGTATGGGCGACTTAAAAAAGAAGGATAAGTGGAGAGAAGATCCGTGTGGAACCGGTAAAACCTATGAGCGATAGATGGATATTCGGAGATGAATAGATTATTTGTACTTCCACTTCCAAAACTCCGAGTGTAGTACTAGGAAAGTTAGGATGAGAAGACAGTGACGGAGTGAATTATTAGGAAAGAACGAGACGCGAGCAAGAAGAGGGCCGGCTTCCTCGAGCGGCAGTTCCAGTAGAGATCGTGGAGTGTAGTTACGATGCATGATCAATCCGAATAAGGTAAAGACAACTAGACATGTCAGGATATATCGATATGCTGCTAGGCAAAACGTTTCGTCCCGAGCAGATATAACTGTGATCGAGTTCCGCGTTGTGAGAGTAGATAAGGGAGCTGGGTGCCATCGGAAAATGTAGGCAGAATCAGACTCGTGATCAGAGGCTCCTTTCAATTTGCACAATATATGGATAAGTGATTGAGAGGGTTGTATGATAGGCGAAACTACTGACATTGGTTCCGAAGAGGATTGACAAGCACAGATACTAAGTGAATCAAAATCAGTTGTGAGCAATCCAGTTGGTGCTGCGATCGGTTTCACGGACAGTGATAAATCCTCTAAAGGAGCAAAATCTAGCACCAGCATGGGTAAAAGGGTAGGTGGTTCGATTCCTTCAATATCAATATGTAGTTTGATCGCATGGAAGTTAAGGATGGGTGCTGCATCAGTTTGTGGGTGATTTTATTACTGCCAGTAAGCGTTTCTAACAGACTAAGTCCTCTACTTTTTCACTTTTACAGATTTAGCTGATCCACTCCTTTGTTTCTAAAACGCCAATATTCGGTGCTTTTCTCCTACTGACACAGTTTCCTTCACCTATTTTTATTACTCTCACTTTATGTTCTTTTCTTCGTTCTCTAAGTCCAACGTTTTTCTTTTCTTTTCGTCCATTTTTATTTTAAGATGCTGTTCTGTTTAAGGATTCCTCTCAGGAGATACAATGTAGTCCCTAGGACAACGATTTCACTTGTTTGGTCTTCTTTACTTGTTTCCTTTTTTTGATTTCTTTAAATAAAAAGCTTAAACTAAACTAAGGGTAGGTGGTTCGATTCCTTCAATATCAATATGTAGTTTGATCGCATGGAAGTTAAGGATGGGTGCTGCATCAGCAACCGCAGCATAAAAAACTTCATATGGATCACGCTCACAAAATATGTCGGATAGACCGGCGAGGGAATCGACATATTCGTCGGAAGCAGACACAAGGGGTTTATCGGTAGGCAAAGAAGAAACCGGAGTTAGCTGGTCTATTTCAGCTTCCGTTGTGGGAAGGTCAGTTGAGTCAGCATCTACTGGCAGAGTGCGTTCATCTTCAGAGTTAGAAAGAGGAATATCCGATGTGTACGATTGATAAAGGGAGTCATCCTGAATGGAGTAAGGAAATACGTAACAACTCGAGGTTAGATAGCGCTGTGCGAGAAAGTCACAGCCATCATAGAATTCAACTTCATATTTGTTCTGCCAAGGACGAATTTGGGTAATTCGCGCTGGCAGCTTGCGATGTTCAGGACCGATAAGGACAAAATCACCGAGTGCGAATGAAGGATCAGAAGGAGCGGCGTCTTGACCATGTTCGATTGACATATCCCAAAAGTCCACACTGGGGAAATAGAACGAGGAAGTATCGGAAGAAGGGTGAAGAAGGGAGGGGTAAGCAATAAGTGAGTCGGAAACCGATGAACTAGCAAGTAGAGGAGGAGTCAAAGGTACGGAGGGATAATCATCCATAGTCCGGGGCAGTACAGGAAGATTATCCTCGAATGTTCGAATTAAACTTGCCGACTGATTTTGAATATCGAGTGGAACCTGAAGTTTCAACTGTAAATCGCATAGTTCTAGCCGAAGAAAATCGATCGTGTTATCTTCGCTGGGCGCAAGAGCTCTAATTGTGTCACGGATTTCATTAATGCGGGAGTGAAAAAAGTCAATCTGAGCCCGACTTTGTTTATTAAGGATTTATAGCGAATCTTGTAGTGACTGCATCCTCAGAGTTGTATGCCCAGAGGTCCTAATCATAAAAATCAGTGTGACTTACCAGGCAATATCAGCATGGCAGAAAGTTAGAAAGAAAAAAAAAAGTAAAAGACAAATTTCACAGGAGAACGGAAGGTTCGACAAGACGAGATCGCCAAGTGTGAGGAACCTATATTTCCTCTAATTATAAGTCCTTGAGTTGATTGTATGCGTGCGTTAAGATATGTAGTATTACTCTTTTATTCGACTACTCTTTATCACAAACTACAAAAAACTAACTCTAACAGAAGAAAAACATTCAATATATATTTGCTACTGCATGTACAAAAGATAAGGACAGCGAAAGAAGAAAGCCAAGAAAGAGCGAAAACAGACAAGGGAGAGAACGAAACAAAAGGGAGTAGTCCTAGCGACAGAAGTACGTACTGGAAGAAGAGGTTGTGACAAAGAATCGTCACAATGGGAGTACTGCGCAATATGCATGAATCAAGTCAGAATGTTATTAAATTAAGGTCTGTTATAGACTTTTGTGTGTCAATGACCGATGGATGCGATTTACAGTATAAATATCTGTCTTCATAGGGAAACTAATAGCGTGAAATCGAGTTCAAGTTGAGAAAATATTTTCATTCCCAAGACAGGATAATTGGACTGGATGCAATTGGAGGCATTCAGAAGAAAAAGAGATTTAGTGTATAGGTGCTTTCTCTCTAGAGCCAGTTGACTGTTGGTATTCTTCATTTTTTGAGCACGAAAAGCACCCATCAGAAATCTGTGCCAACTATGAATCTTATTTAACACAAACGTGGAGCACATTCATTATTGAAGCACCTATCTATCACTGTCGAATCGGTTGATACCACAACAACTGATTTGATACGTAAATTCTAAAAAAACGGATAAAATGCGTAAAGAGATCGCAGATATCGTTGATCAACGATAGTAGGATTGAGAAATCAACGTACAGTATAGTAAAAATTCTTTTTAAGTCGGTTCTCACATCAATTAATGATCGCTTATCAATAACCAACTGAAAGCAAAGCAGGAAAGTCACGAAATTATCACTCAAAAGATTAATGATATATTGAGAGATGCACTCGATCGTATAATTTGAGATTTATTAGCAGAAAAGAAAATGAAAATTGTAAAGAACAGATGGTACAATAGTTCAGTCGATGAAAGTTCCAATATCCGCTCAGGACATCGAAATAACTCATCAACTTGGCAGCAACAAGAGCTGGAAGCATCGAGCTATTATCGCTAGTTCCTATTCATCAGAAGCTCGTTATGCTATATTAGCTGACAGAATAATAATCAATCAATTTATCGACACAGCCAGCGACATCTAAGCAAATCAGACGACAAAATCTCGCTGTAACTTTCTTAGCAGAACCAGAATACAGAATATAGACAAGCTTTGTAGAGGGTTCGAGCAGAATTTGTGAGATTGTCATGGAATATCGACAGATTCTCCACAGTGTTTTACACATTTACTTTACTGCTTGGGAATGGCAAAAGTGCATGTTTACATTTTGTTTCTCATTTCCTCATATATCGTATCTTTCGCAGTTCACACTATAACTCTGCTTACCTCCGCCTTGCTGACAGCAAGTTGCTGTTGATTTGGACCAGCTTGTCCATGTCCGTTGTTTTGATTGGGATTCATTATCAATTAAATGATATTCGATATATTGTCTTTAAGTAATCAACGATTGATATGTATGATTCTGTATATAATAGTATTAAAATTGACGTAATATCTTCCTAAGTCGCTTTTTTAATTAGTACTTTTAAATTCTTTTCCTATTCACTAGTTTTCTTCTTCTATAATAGGCATAATGCAAAATTTTTTGTTTTCGACGTGTTGATATGTCTCGTTTTTGATTCTCCTTGCATTTTCTAGTAGCTTTTTTGCTGGTATCATGCATGATAGATATAATGAAGAAATTTTCTGTTCTTTTTAAAACCGGAGATCAAAAATACTTTAAAGCATTTTCGCAGTGATCGATGAATAACAAGATTTTGAGCTTTTTTCAAGATTTCGTATCAAAGTTGACTGATTTCTGACGACATATTTCTCCGAAGAATCCGGTCTCATGTCTTATGTCCCAAACGAGATAATCTTCCCGATCGGCGAAAATTCGAACTTTATGGAACTAAGTGATTTTGCGACTTTTTACGTCCTTCTAGTATTTTCGATTTTTCGACATAAAAAAATTGTTTCTAAAATTATAAAATACATTTTCTTAATCAGCTCGATGAGCTATGTCGAATGATGTATCTGAAATTAGACAAAACATGTTGTTTTATTTCTGCATTACGTGCACCTTAACTAAATTTAATAAAAGTAATTTTTTTTCTTTCTTACTTAATCTGTTAACGGACGACTATATTCTGTCTCTAATTGACTTTATATTTCGCAAGTTTTGCTTCACAACAGAGAGCGATAAAAGTGTTTATGCAGCCTATAGAAGTACGTTGATAAAATCTTTCAGTTTCCGGTTGTCAGCATCCGATACTTGGAGATGCGCAACGATTTATAAGCAATTTTAAGCGCTCTATCTGATGGTGCTTCCAGTAATTAGCTTTCGTTTTTACCCAAAACGAAAGTTTTTTGAAAAAATCAAATTTTATATAGTATTCTAAACAACGCGTTATAGCCGATCCCCATAGAATCTGAATCAATTTTGAACCTTCTCTCGAATGACATTGTCCGTTTTTTATTATAACATAAGATGGGTCCGCAAAACAAGTCGTTCGGACAACCGGCTATGCAGAATATCCCGAGCAGGATTTGTAGCCCGATCGGGATATACTCTGGCCTCCGATTGCAATTTTTTTGAAAAAAGAGGAATGAAAGAGGATTCGTAATTTTTTTGAAAGTGGATTTGAAGTAAAAGAAGAGGAATGGATTTTTCGCCCAAAAACCGCTGTGACACGTCATTTTGGTTCAAAACCTTACTTATCGAAATCAAGTGTCTGTATGAAATTCCTGTTCTGCTGAAAAATTGAAGTTTTTCGCCAAAAATCATATGCATCAAATCTGATAACAAGCCAGAAACATGCAATGGCGAAAACCGCAGGTCTCTACCTTGTTCCTGCCAAAAGTTATCCAAAAAATGGTCACACGCATGGACCTTTTTAATGGACAATACTTGTCTAAAGTGAAATAAGTTCAGTTTATAACACAGAGAATCTCCAAAAAAATTATCTCTGTACAATGTGTTCTTTTAAGGCAATTTCTATTTGCTTTTTTCAGATTTCGATGCTGTTCTTTAATATTCTTAAAAAAAAGAGGAAAAAGGGGGCAACTGACTTGAAAGGAGGACAAAAAAGAGGACTACACAACAAAGAGGAGGAATCGGAGACCAGAGTATCGGCAAAGGATCATTCAAATCGGAGATGGACACCTGAAGAAGTTCATTCGTAAGAAAAATATGCTCTTTTTATAATATTTGTTAAGTTCATATGTTTTATCTACCTCTAATGAACGTCCACACGCATCTATTCTCATTTCGATATATAAAAAACGTCTAGGTCCGTTCGAGCTCAGATTCATCTAGGGGTAAACGGTTAATTTCGATTAAAGAAGAATCCACTCACATGCGTTTTTTGTATGTTCCAGAAAGTAAACGTGTCTACGCGCTGTTTCATAGCTTTTGTCTCAGTGTGAATAGGTCTAACGATAAAACGTTTGGTTTACATTGAGTCTTTTTTCAAGAAAGAAAAGAGAACGCAGTCGGACGCTTATTTCACGATCAAGATGTTTCCAATTTTCTAATGTTTGGGGCGCCTGTACACATCCAATTTCGAACAAATGTTGACCATTTTCTCAAACGCGCGCAGACTCGTCCAGTTTGCTTTTTAGAAATGAGAAGAGACTTTTTTGGAAATCGGGAGAAAAATAGGAAAGTATCAGGCTGTGTTTTTTTGGACATGCAAAACTTTCATCCCCGTAAACCCTTGTGACTTTTTCTACTAACGAGGGAACATTTCTAACTGCTCAACTCCGCTTTTTTCAAACCTATGTCGATCGATAGCCCACATTGAGACAGTAAAGCGCCTAAAAGGATTCGGATCCATAACTCTCGAAGGTAAGGTTTTCTGGAAAACCAGTTTTTCAGAAAATTTAAAAAGTAGCCAAAACCTTTTCTTAATGATGCATAGATCTAACCCGAACATTTCTGATTAAAATGAGACATCCCCCAGCTCTACACGACCTTTCTCTGCAAAGCTATAGAATTTAGAAGCAAAGCCCTAAATGTTCAACGTCACCTCAAAGGTATAAGAAGTTAATTTAGGTCTTTTCTTGTAAATTCCATAACTTTCCATAACAAACAGAACACAATAGGGGTGTTACTTTAGTTTTATTGTTCATTTATACTAATGAATAAATATAAATGGATCATTCATATACTAAATTAACGCCCTTAGATAGAGACGCTATGGTCAATTTTGGACAAAAAGCTGGTTTCAAAACCAATTGATTCGAAAGCGGCCTTGATGGATCGTCTTCAGGAAGAATGGAACAACGTTGATCAAGATTTATGCATCAAATTGGCTGAATCGATGCCCCGTGCCGAAAGTGTTTAAAAGCAAAAAGTGGACAT